GCTCTTTCTTTTCACATCAATTTTAACACCATTTTAGTCGCAGCCATCATGCATTGCATGTCTTCTGCCAATATAACATTATTGACCCTTTTTTTCTTCTTTCTAATTAATATGGGATTTACACAAACCAAAACCATTGAAAATAGAAAATTCCCTTAATATATGTACATAATATAAAGCATTAATTAAACAACATCAACCATTGAACCGCGGCTGCGACTCTGACTGTGACTGTTTCATCGGATTTTAACATTAAGGAACACAAAACGACGGCGTATAACCATCAATAGGCAACCACTGACTTAGCTCACTATACAGACACAGACAGAGAGACATGAAGGGAAGAAGAAGCTAATTAAGGTATAATATAATTAATTAAATCATTACTTCATATAATTACTTGCGTCGGTCTAAATTCTCGGCGATCTGAGCCAGTGACTGGAGGTTGCAGCGAACAATCGTGTCCACGAACGTACACGTGTCCTCCTTGCTGTTCCCTTGCGGCACGTCCACCGCGTACGACTCCACCACCACCGTCCCGCCCGCGGGTGACGGGTGCAGCGTCGTCACCGACTTGTAGTTCGAGAGCCGGTGGTCCCCACCCACCATGCTGAAGCTTATGACGTGGCTCTCCTCGTCCAGGATCTCCAGCCTCTCCGTGCTGCTGTTCGCTGGCAGCCCCGATATCACCCGCACCTCGCGCAACGTGCCCACGTCGCCGTCGCCGACGATGACATGGCAGCTCTTGACGAAGTTCTTGTAGGCCTGCGGGTTGTCGAAGCGCCGGACCACCGACCACACGGTGGACACCGGGGCCGCGATCTCCTGCGTCACGGCCGAGCAGCACTGGTCGGGCCCAACCGCGTGAGTGTGGTACCGCGCCAGCGCTTCCGGGAGTGGGGCCCGCCTCTTGTTATTGTTATTATTGTTACCGAGTAGAAGCGCTCCTCCGCCCTTTTGGTTTTGGCACTGCAGCGACGCCGTATTGGACGAGGCGGACGTTGGGGCGTTGATCCGGTGGAGTAAAACTGAGGATCTGGGCGGGTTGGGAGGCATATGGGTAATTTAAGTGTTGTGGGGGGGATTTTGGTGTGTAGCTTTTTGGGTTTTTGGTATAAATAAATAGTGGTCGCTTTCAGCTGCTTCTTCTGGTAGAGGAGGCTCTGCTTTTCCGGTGGTTGATCTTAATTCTTCTACTTATGCACTCTCTCTCTCTCTCTCTCTCTCTCACGCACAAACAGAGAGATGAGTTGGTTGCATTTTTCAAAGCCAAGAAAGTTCATGTGGGGCTTATAAAATAGAACCAAGTTGGTCCTTTGAGCCAAAAAAGAAAAAGATTTTATAAAAAAAAAGGGGGTTGGGGGGAGAAATAAGCACAAGTTGGTCGCGTTGAAGTTACATAATAACCCTGTCCTGTTCTTTTTTTTGTTTTTTATTAAATTTTGCTAGATTACCAGTAGACCCTCTTGAAAAATAAATAACGAGCATTTAATTAAGTTATCATTTCCTTTAAATACCATTCCCCAACTCATGACTTTGAATAATTTTCTCTACTAGAATAGTTTAAATCTATAAGGATGTTAGGTTAGGTCAAGAATTGAATTTGATTTTCATTTTTAAAAAATAAATGGTAATAATTGAAAACAATAAAAATATTGATAATGAAGTTTCACTTTTGAATCCCGAACCTCTACATCTAATAAAAGCTTTCATAATATTGTATGCATGTATTTCAAATGTTGTGAACATGAAGGTCCATTGGCCACCATCGGACCACCGGTTGGTGAACAGAGTTTGTCTCAATTTGAAGAAATTGGACCGTGCATAATTTGAATTCACAACTGCCTGTGGTCCTTTGGATAGGAACTCTACAACCTTAATCAATTCAAAGTTGTATAGGATAAAACCCTACTCTTGTTTAATGGCTTAATATATAAACCACATTACTCATATGGGGTTTTTGGTCATTGCCCCCAATATTTACCAATTGAAAATAGAAAGCAAGCTAGGTAAAACAGTGTTTAGATATCTCAAAACAAAAATAGACATGCCGTCGCAAATTTGCCAATTGCCAAATGAGGATCAAGTGGGGTGTAAAGTAAGCCATAGGGATAAGATATATCCATATTCATGTTTAGGCAGCGTTAACTCTTCCACACTCCTTGCCCCGCCGTTCGTATGTCAGAATGAGACCCCCTTTTGTCCAAAGTGCGTAGAGCCAAAATTTGGACCCATTTGGAATATATACAGAGCTTAGAGATCCCTCAAATAAAGGACAATTTTGTAGAGCCCACTCCGTATTGTATTTCACTAATTCAAGATCCCTCAAATTAGTTTATTTGATGTATAACTTTGTAGGGCCCACTCCATATTGTATTTTACTAATCAAAACTGTCTATTTTGTAAATATTCTTTCAAAGATCATCTCTACAAAAAATAAAAAAAATAAAAAAATCACTTAAATCCTATATCATTTGATCACTTAATTGAATTATTAAAATTTTAGTACTTTTTTAAAGCACCGTGTTCATTGATTTTGTAGGATACAATTGGATATAGTTTCTGATTTGTCATATATATTCAAAAAATTTCACCCACTTGGTTGCTTTATTCAAATGTTGCCCTGTTGATATCTTTCTTCTAGATTGATTCTATTCTTGTAACAAACTTCTTTGTATAGAACACCGACTTCATTCCACTTGACATTAACTAAACACAGCTAATATATTGTACATGAAAAAGAGAATTCCAACTTGTCATCTCTTCCAATATTAAGAAAAATAAAACCACTAAAGTTACGAACTATATTTTGATATATACATAAAAGCACTTCTTCTTTCCTAGGTAGGTATTGTTATAATCATCAAGCCTTTTTAAACTAAGAATTAAGACATAACATTGTCATTTTCGTGCCGATTCTTCGTGTCTAACTTGGCAACTGGATCATGTGAGTTCAAAAGATGAGCTTCTTTATGAATGATGAATCTGATGCTCAACTTGTCCAAGATTGTGATATGCCAAACGCTATTAAATAATTTTCAAAGGAAAGGAGAGATTGCGCAACTGCTGAAATATTAGTACTTAATGGGAAAAAATCTGTACTGGTAGGATTGCATAAGAATATTTTAAAGACCAAATAAATTGTGCGAACATTGAGCTCAAGTGTAGCTGGACTGGATACACACAGATATACCTTATACTTTCGAGCACTGGGATTGAAAACTAATGTCCCAACCTTAGTTATTACATCATTATAATTAAAATGGTTGTGTGCTTTTTGCTGGCTCCATGGATCGAAGCTGCATATAGAAAAGAATGGAAAGTAGCTAAATATCTAGGGCGAAAAGAGCTAAAGAGAGAAGAGAAGAAGTAAAACAATTACTTCATAGCGAAGAAAAAGGATTAATCGTAAGAGGTGCCCTGTGCATGACACAGGTTGATGACGAATGGGCATTGGCATGCACAGCAACACCGTGATCAAGTCTATATGCATGCATGCTTTTTCCCCGGGACCTGGGTTTGGATTAGAAACAGTGTTCTGGATACGACGAAACTCTAGGCTACAGCTATATAATTATACGAATTAAACACAGTGTTGGTGAGTCCTTACTTAGTTAGGATTTTGGTTCCTTATTTCATTAGAATTTTGGTTACTTACCAGTTATTATTTAGTTATATTGTAATAGAGATTTGCTTCCTATTGTAATTTAGATATATTTCCTATTTTATTTAGGGTTAACATATCTTTGTACTTGTATAAATACCTCCATATTGGAGAAGAATAAAAATATGAGCGTATCTTAGCATAACTAAATATCTGCCCTACTTTGTTTGACACACAGTGTTCTGGATACGACGAAACTCTAGGCTACAGCTATATAATTATACGAATTAAAAACAACTTGATGTTTTGATATCTTCCTCTACCTACCTATATATAGTTTCCTTTCGAGGTCTAAATACGGCAGCGGCCTTTGGAGGCCAAGAAGAGTCAATCAATCAGCTATACATACAACTAGTTCAATTGTTTTCTAAATTTTAATGACCAAATTAATTAAAAATTATTTAAATTGCAGGTTGCATCAATTTGTTATATTATATCCCTTTTTAATTCATAATTTAATCGTATTTTTTTCTTTTGAATTTTAAAAATAATTCAAATAAATAAATAAATAATCGGGTTTAATTTAAACCACAATGCCCAAGGCCCATATTTTGATTAATTAAATATATTAATTAAACATTGACCTAGTATGTATAAAGCGTATAGCCGTCCGGCTATAACCAGAGTATAGCCGTGCGGCTAAACTGTTGCGAAAAACAATTAAAAACCACCCCAGTATAGCCGAGCGGATATACTATTTATAAACAAATAAAATAAAAAGAGAACCCGCCTACCGCTCAGGGGTCGACGCATGGAACCGGGAATAGCCGAGCGGCTTTAATTGTTTTTGAAAAACACAGTACAGCCGCGCGGCGATACTATTTAAGGAAAAAGGGGACCATTTCATCGCTTGGGTGATCACCTGTGAAACCAAGTATAGCCGCGCGGCTATAATAGAGCAATAAGAGCCGTGTGAAACCAAGTATAGCCGCTCGGCTATACCATAAAAAAAAACCGTAAGAAAGCCGCCAGGCTATCCTATTTTGGGAAAAGTAAAAAAATTTACGCGAGTATCGCAGCGGGCTATACGATTTATAAATAAATAAATAAAAATAGGGCCCACCTAGTGTGTAATGTGAAACCATATACTATTTTTTTTTAAAGAAAACCATAGTAAATCCGCACGGCTGTAGTATTTTTAAAAGATTAATATTTAAATATTTTATTAAAGAAAAAAAGTTAAAAATTACAATACGATACTTGTGCCAATATGTATAAGAAGAACAAACAGTGCATCCAAGCCGTTGTAAACCTATAAGATTCACAATTATTTTCTGTAACCAAGAAAAATTAGTTATAAGGAAATTGTATACGAAAACAACTTTTCGACCAATAAACAAAATGAAGAACAAACGGCAGTCGTTTCCCTTGACGGTAATGCGCGTTCAAATGAGGGAAAGCCCACAGGTTATTATGTGCGCCTTTGTATAGAATGAAACGACCTGGCGTGCAAAAAAGAACATTGAACGAGCGGATAGCAGTCCGAAATTGAATGGAAATTTCTGAGGTGGGAGAGAATTTCTGAGAAGAAGTCATCAGAACCAAGGCTGAGACGCAGAGGCCAGCCTTGTTCTCTCTCATACAATCTACTCGGTTCCTTCCACCCCATCAACACATCGCCGAGACAGAGGGAGAACATTTTACATGGATCAGATTTTGAACAAGGCGGGTTCCTACTGGTTCAGCCAGAAGGCCAACAAGGAGCTCACCTCCGTCGGCGATGATATCAACGTGCGTTTCTTTCTACGCCCATCTGGATCTCAATTTCATTAGTTTTGATTTTGAATTTTTGATGTGATTTAGGATCCAATTAGGGTTCTCTTGTTCTTAACGATTTCGGTTCTGAAAGTCGATTTCTTTGTATGATCTGAGTTTTCTTTGCGCAACCCACTTTCGTAATCGTCATTAGATTTACTCGTTCGTTAAATTTTTGTTTTATTAAATCTGAAGGATGATTTATTCCATATATATTAATTGTCAAGATTAATACTTTCCCCAATTTGGGTTTTGTTTTCGTTCCGTTACTTTTTTGTGTGGGTTTTATTACATATTTGTATACTAACATTGTTTGTGTAATGATTAGTCATTGCAAACTAGCATCGAAGGAGGAACCAAATGGTTGGTTAATAAACTCAAAGGTTAGTTTTTTCTGCTCACTCTGTTTAGTTACTTTGCTTGTTACACTAACCTAAAGTATGCTATTATATGACTGACTTTGCAAGTCAGAAAGTTCTGACATTTGTAGAATTGATTCAGGGTTTTGATAGATAATAGTGGCAATTAAAAGTGAGCGTGTGACAGAGCTGTAAAATGCAATGTGGTTGTTGAAGGGTTTTTTCATATGCTTGAATTGGTTTCTTGGTTAATGCAGAGCAGGGTAAATATGAGTATATGACCCTTTTGATGTGGATTTGACTTGCTTGATTTTCGATGATGCCGTAAATGGAGTTTAAGAATGGGACTTACTGTTGGGGTTTCTTGAAATAACATAACTTTACAAGGCAGAAGAAAAACATTGAGTGATATAAGTTGTATTTGTGCTGCCAGGGAGAGGGGAGTGGTGCTTTAATGGTCTTGATTTTGGACTATATAAACTGCTATCTTCAGGATGTATTTACAGATTAGGTCATATCCCTGTTAATACTCTTTCATACTGTTTTATATTATTTTTCTCCTTTTTTGGTGCGAACTGGGTCATTGGGTTGGCATAGTAGATTGAAAAGAGTTGATTAAGTTTTTCTAATCTGTGTGTAGGTCTGTTATTTTCTTAAATTTCCATAGCATTATAAATAAGAACAAGTGTTCTCTTCACAGGAAAAATGCAAAAACCATTGCCTGAGCTTCTAAAGGATTTTGACATGGCAGTAGGAATATTTCCTCGTGATGCTACCAACTATGAATTTAATGAGGAGACGGGAAAACTTACAGTCTACATACCGGCAGCCTGTGAAGTGGGGTACAGAGATTCATCTGTTTTGCGTTTCTTCACCATTGTAACTGGATATTTGAAGAAAGGAAGGCTAGAAGACATCCAGGGGATGAAGACAAAGGTGATTATATGGGTAAACGTGTCCTGTATCACATCTGAGGGATCAAAGCTCCATTTCACAGCTGGGTTGAAGAGAACCAGGAATAGAGAGGCTTATGAGGTTCTTAGAGACGGCATCACTGTAGAGAAGTTTTAAAAAAAAGGTCAAAATGCTCATCGGTTACTATTGTGTAATTTAGTTGGTTAAAGTTGTTGAACCGTTTTGCTTGTATGAAAACTGGTTTAATCAACTCATGTATGTTTTCCTGTGGATGTTGAACGGTTTGATCCAGTTAATATTTTCTCCTGTATGGTGCATTTTCTAATGTTTGATGCAGTGATCAGAGATCATGTTGGCCAATGGCCAATTCTGGTTCGAGTACTTTATCGTGTCCTTGCAGACAAATTTCTGGCGCCCTTCCATACCATTTAAGTAATATTATCCTAAAAAAGTTGTGCAGGTACATAACTAGAAGTTTTTAGTAATTTAAAAATGGTTTAAGAATTTAATTTAACAGAACTGAGACGGAAATAACTACATTTAGGAACGGAGAAAAACACATGGATGAAATTGGCTAAATTTGTGACACTGACTAGGATAGCCGCCCTCTTGTCTTGTTTGTCGCAAAACTTTGAGTGTTTGCACCTATAATATGTAGAATAGAATAGATGGAGTAGCAAGCACCTGAGCATATAATCCATGAAGAATAGTTCGTTTTTGCCAAGCAGTTAGAAGCTGGGAATGATCATTCCCCCTTCGATTGATAATTTATATCTACATCATTGTTTTTATATGAACAAGAGCTTGGACTGAGTTGATTTTGTGCATGTGTAACTCCAAATGCTGCTGCTCCAGGATGAGAATTGAGAACCCCAGTTGAGGTTTCTGCAGATATGCAACCTTGAATGTTACCTGATCGGGTTCTGCAACTCTCACTGCCATTGAGTTCTTGAAAGAAGGTTTTTGATGCTTCATAAGTAGACCAGCAAACTGCAGCTGCAGGAGCATGAAAGAGCATCCTGGGAACCCAACCTCTCATAAGCCCTCGATATCCATCCTTCGTCACGAGGCTTCGAATAACATCCCCTATCGAGCTGCTAGAAAATCTATCACACCCACACACACCCTACGTGAAAAGAGAACAGTTTGGTTCATGACTTCATAATAAATTTAGCTTAAAGCAAATCCCCAAACTTTATCGCTCAGGGCATGCTTTCAATTACTTGCAAGTTACTAAACAACATCAAGACTTTGCATTCAAACCCCAATGAAATCCATTAACATTTGGATTAAAAACTTGCATGCTGAAGCAACAAATTAACAAAGCTTCTAACCTGGCACTGCAATTGGGTTTTCACAACATCAAGAGGGGTAGTGACAGCAGCAGCCAAAGCCCCAGCAGCTGCACCAGCAGTGGCATGAACCACCAACCTCTCGTCGCTGGCGCTCTCTGGCGACACCTCCATTAGCCCTCTCTTTGCAGCTTCATATGTAGCAAAATGCACAGCGGTAAATGGGGCGTTCATCACAACAGTGGTCTTATACGACTTGTAAAAAGCTCCTACTCCTTCTTCCACAAAAACCCTCTTCACACAATCTGCAACACCCTTATAAGGGCTGCTCTGCAACTGCAACCTCTGCTTCACAACATCCATGGGCGTGATCACAGCATCGCTTGTAACAGTTGCAAAAACTCCAGAAACTGCATGCGCAGCTGAACTATTTGGATTTCCACGTGTGAAAAACTCCTTGGACATCTCATAAACTGAGAAATAAACAGCATGGGCAGGTCCTGCACCAAGTCCCATTGCTCCAATCCCACGGTAGAGACCTGCAAGGCCTTCAAGTTTCAAAATCGATCCGAGGGCTTGTCGAACACCGATTGGCTGAACAGAGCAAGACCCACCAAAAACCTGCATCCTGGTTTTGAGAGTGTCAACTGGGAACATAGCCATGTGCTCAACTAGGCCAGCTATGGAGCCTGCAATCATGAACTGCCTGAACTCAAGGCCGTCGTGGGTGGGTGATGGAGATACCGATATTTCGGGGTGGAAGTCGTGGGGTTGAGGAACGGTTCTGAATGCAGGGGAGGCATCAGTGGCCATGGTGAGGAACAGTGGTGGTGGTGGAGGAGAGTGGAAATGGGGGTAGGAGATTTTAAATTAGGGACTGAATAATTGGGGTGTGCGGATCGCTTTCTGGTTGAAAGAGAAGTATTGGGTTGCGTCCATGTAGAGAGAGCTTTGGTTTTGGCAGGATTTAAGATAAAATGAGAGAGAGAGAGAGAAAGAGACTGAATTACATTTACACATATCAAGATTAGAATGAATGAGAGAAAGAAAGAAAGTAATCAAAATCGAGTCTTTGAGAGATCAATGAGAATCAGAAAAGATCCTGTTTTTGTAACTGGGAGATATTAAAATGTGCCTAAATAGAGTAAAACTGGTTTTTCTGTTAACCATTTCAGTGGACTAGACTAGGCGTTTGAAAAGAGTGTTTGTAAATTGCATAAAGTGACACGCCAAATTGAGTGAATTGTGAGTTCTAGAGAAGAAGACAATTCCGTAAGCTTAAGGACAAAATGAAATGCCATGCTTGTGCCATCCACAAGCTTCAATCCTGGTTTGCGTCCACATGCACACCGTCTTACCACAATCAGCTTCCATCACTCTCAAAAAATTTCGCATTTCAATTCAATCTCAAATCAATGAGAAACAATCCCCTGATGAGGCTCCCATATTAACTACCACGGGAGTGCTAGGTGTCATCTCCACAGCCGTATTGGGATTCAATTATTATAATAAATCTTAGTTGATCAAAGACAGTAGCCCAAGGCAAATTATGGTGGAGGGAGAATGTATTATGTACAAAAATTGTGAGACATTTTGGGGCTCTGAAAAGGACAAAAACCCTTCCGCGTAGTTTATGACTTTATCAGCTGTGAAGGGAGAAAGAGAGAGAGTTTTGAAAATACTGATTGCCTGTTCAACATCATGTAAATGTAATATAACATATATGATATATATATATATTAGTCTCCTACTATTGAGGAATTTTTTAAATAATTTTATTTGAGAGACATTTTTTAAGGTCTTTTATGATTATTTTTTTTCAATGATCCAAACCATCTAGTTTTTAAGTCTACATTCATAGATCATCCTTACAAAAAATTAGACAAATCAGAAACCGTTTCGATATCCAATTGTGTCATACAAAATCAATGAACACGGTGCTTTAAGAAAGTACTAAAATTCCAATAACTCAATTGAGTGGTCAAATGATATCGGATTCAAGTGATTTTTTGTAGAGATATCTTTAAATGATTATCTTAAAAATAGACGGTTTGGATTAGCGAAATATAATGTGGAGTGAGCTCATACAAAGTTGTCCCTCAAATAAGTTTATTTGAGAAATTCCTAGTTCTCGATATGTCCTTAATGTCGACACCATCCCTCAAACCCTCAATATATATAGTCATACATCCATCATACATATGCATGGTGTCGACATTAATGTCTAAAGTAAAGGTTCCTCATTCCATATCAGACAAAGCTGATACGTCTGATGTCAACTTCGAGCATGCATGTTATTCATTTTTGCAGTTTCCTTGTGTAACTCATTGGTATGCTTGTTTTCTGATGTTGTGCAGAGCCTTGTGGCCTCTTTGCCTGAGTTATGTAACAAACTTGAAAGCACTCATTGTTAGAAAAAACAATTATCAATGACTGATTAAAACAATTATATAAACAGAATTTATAACAATCTGTAACACAGAATACAGTATATGAACAATAAATAAAACTGACTTGAATTTGAGATAGAGGCTTGCAGATTTGATGCAATGTCCTAAAGACAGTAATTTCACCCCTTCTCGGTGCTTGAAGTTCTACAGGTGACTGCCTCCCAGGATTCAACTATCTGTATTCTAAGCCCTAGCACTCGGACTTAGAATCTGGCGAACGTTGTTTGTTTTCCTCTCAGACAATATGAAATGCTTGTAGAATGCTTTTTCTGTGTTGAACGTATGAGGCCTTATTTGATTTAAATAAACTTCTGAAACCTTATCAGAAGAGTCACAACTGTTAGAAAACAGTTAATAAAACTAATCCGAATTAATAAAAAATTATTAATTCGAAACCAAAAAATAATTTTAAATCTGAAAGTGCCCCAAGGCCCAAGGCCCATCTTTTTGACTATTAAATATTATATATTTTTATATAATATTCAAAGCCCAAATCGATTTTGAAGCCCAAATTGCTTCCACTTGGCCTACTTCCATTTACTAAGAGTGGCATTTCCACACTTATAAGGACCTCACTCTTTCTACTTTCTATCAATGTGGGACAAAGGTTCTTGAATTTAATTCAAACTTCCAACACTCATTTGGTGGACCGACTTGGATATGACAAGTCTAATTAGAGATGGCCTGTTTTTAGTCAGCGTTAATTTGTGTTCCGGACCGGAACGTGAGTTTACGATTGAAGTCCAAAATAAAAGGGTTAAAGTTTAGTAAAATGTTTGTTCAGACCAGCCAACTAAACGATGCCGAAGAGTATAATAAAATGTCTTCCATGACCAATTTTCCATTAGGACATGCACCTTTCCTCATAAATTAAGAACTTGAAGATTTTGCATCTCATTCAACTCCTCAACAGCTCATTTCATCCATTTGCGTTTTGAGTCCGATGAAAGCTTAAGAAAATTGAACCCTCTACCAGTTCTCAAAAGACCTCTAGTAACCTAACGTCACCAAATGTTGTATACATACCCATTACATTTGACATGGTTCACTTCACCCTCGAGTAAAGAAAGTAGTGTAGCAGGCAATTGTGACCTGGACTGGACGAGTCCAGAATTTTTTTTTTTTAATTAAAATCAGTCCAATCATAACCAACGTCCACAGATGTACAAGCTGGCTTTTTTTTTTTTTTTTTGGTTTGAACCACGAGGTGGTCCTGGATGGGCCCCAACTATGGGTGGCACCTTTAAGCCTTAACCACAACCCAGACTAATCCCCGCTCACACCGGGTCGGCCCGTAAGGGGTAAAGTGCTGGCCAAAGTGGTGACTCCATACGAGAGCAGGGATCGAACCCCTGACCTTCTCTTAAGGAATGAGAGTGCCGAACCACTCACACCAACCACCTTGGTTGTACAAGCTGGCTTTTGGCCCATTAACAAAACAAGCAAAAACTTGGACACCCAATTAATTTCCTTGCCCACCCAAATCCATGTATACTGTAACCGTCCTCTGGAAAAAAATTTAGACCTGATAACTCAACTACCCTTTTAATTTAAATTATAAATTATTTTTATTTA